ATTTTTTTTTAAGCATTCAACCGCAAGAAAGGCGGGAAGCCACTAGCACGCAAAGGGTTTCAGCGTAAGAGCGAGAACAAAGAGGAGCGATAGAGGAAAGGATGAAGGGAAGGTTAGGGGATAGATCAGGGCATCTGGAGACGTCGATTGACATTACATTTGAATAGTTGGAGATTATAGCTATCAGGAAAATAAGAGACGGGAAGAGAGTTCCACAGGCGAGAAGTGCGAGACATGAAGCTATTGCAGCAGAAGAGACGGCTACATTTAACAGTTTCGACAGTGAAAGGGTGAGAGCGAGATGCCAGCCTAGTTGAACGCTTAAATTCATGAACTCTGGGAACCAGCGAAAGCAGCTCATCGGAGCAGTTACCGTGAAAGTATTTGTAAAAAAAGACAAAGGGAGGCAACGGCACGTCTGTGAGAGAGCGGCTGCAGACGAGATGACAGATCAGGGCCAATTACATTGCATATGTGTCTCTGGTTTTTATCAAGGTCTTTGTGACAGGAGAGGCTCCAGACCAAATATGGCAGCAATACTCCATGCAAGGGCGAATGGTTGATTTGTAGATTTGAAGGATTGACTCCGGCGAGAAAAATTTCCTGGCGTGGCACGGGTGGGGGGCATATTTTCCTAGCGGTGGACAAAGCTATTGACTCAATGTATTCGTTCCATCTCAGGTCAGCAGACAATGTGAGACCGAGCAGTCGCAAAGGGGTGCTCGCGTGGAGCGCTTAGGTGACCCAGAGAGAGACGAAAGACAAGCAGCGAAGAGCGGAAGAAGGTGTTACAGAAATCCACACGATTGCTGCCAAGGGAAACCCCGTCTTTCAGCCCTGTTCCAAGAATGAGCACCAATAAAGTGTCTCTAAAGAGATTTTAGTGGGAAGCTTTAATGTTGCTATACAAAGAACAAATCGAAAATTGACACGAAAAATCTATCGTTTTTTATTTCATCTTCATAACACAGATTCGCCGTGGTTCGAATCAGCGCTACGAGTACTGATGATACACGACCTTCACGTCTCTGTGATCAAGAAAAACAACGTCGGCGGAGGAAAGTATTGACCAACGGCCCCGTTGACCAGCGACGGTATCAACCGGCGTGGAATTGACCCTGAAATCAATCCTAGCGACCGAGTCACCTTCGGATATATGCGGCGTTTAGTAAGAGTCATATCATCTGGTCAGTGCTGATAAGGTTCGACCCGGGATCGGCCGGAGCGTGCGTGTTGTAACTGAACAGAAAGGAACGCTAGAAAGTCAGATATCTGCAAAAATCAGTGCATACACTAGGCTATGAGGACCTCTTCGGTAGGCCTCGCATAGAAATAAGTACGATATGAGAGCCATGACTAATCAGCATCATCTGTGGAATGAAATAAAAGATACAGAGAAAAACACTAAAGTGTCAGACTTCTGAAAAATTCTAGGCTATGAGGACCTTCTCTCTAGGCTTGGCATATAAATAAATACGATATGCGAGGTATTAATATATAAATAAAAAATTGTGACTGGAAAGCACTGGTAGTAAAAGGTAAATCCTCAGTGAATGCAGTCAGGCGTGACCAGTAGTAGCAGTTAGCATCGGAGAGCAATATACATCATGAAATGAAATACATGGTTCAGTTCGAAATTCGGGAAGGACTCTCAGGTCGACAAGCACCTAATGAAGACCGAAGGACACGACGACCGAAAACTTATGATAACGGCAAAATATGCAAATAAAATTAAATAACACATAAGAAATATTTATTAAAATAAGTATTTAAAATTTGTCATGCAAATTAAATGTTATTGCTTCAAGTTTTAGAAGAAAAAATATTACTATGGATAGTTTAATGGGAACGGTTAATTTTGTTGAATCAAAAACTATATAAATCAATTGGAAATTAAATTCTTTATTTTGTTATGTCATTTTTATTTTCACTATCGGAAACGTTCTTTGTTCTTTTGTAGCACTGTTCCGCCATATTTCGTTCCAGCGCTCGAGTATGGACAGAGTAATCAAAGAACACAATTTGGGTCAGAAGCAGACGAAGGAACGAAGCGGTAAGCAGATAACCATCAGTTGACTAGCGGCAGTAATGACCTGAGTGGGAAGGACCCGAGATAGAGCCGGACCAGCTGTGCTATCTTTGGTGACTGGGCTATGGGGACATCTTCGGTAGGCCTCGCATAGAAATAAATACGATATGTGAGCCATGACTAATCAGCATCATCTGTGGAATGAAATAAAAGATACAGAGGGAAACATTAAAATGTCAGATTTTTGAGAAATCTAGGCTATGAGGACCTTCTCTGTGGGTCTAGCATGTAAATAATTGAAAATAAGTATTTAAAATTTGTTCTTCAGATTAAATGTTATTGCTAATGTTATGAATGTTGACCATGTTCACCATAGTCTATGAATAAAGAATACAGCGCAGTACGTAATCTGTTCAATGAAACAACGTTAAAGATTAACACTCACGAGTCAGACACTCTACTGAATCTGACTATATCGCCAATACCACCAGCAGCTGTTCTGTAATTCTTCAGTCGTCGATATCAAAGTATTCGGGAAAAAACATGGCCGCCTCTATACACGTCGCATTGAATATTTTGAGCCTTCTGATTGGTCAACCCTTCTATTGGTGAACTATAAAATGAGTCAGCTCATTTTGGCTGGCTCACTAGTACACCAGGGTACCCAAAAATTCCAACAATGAACACAATTTACTATATATAAATGTACCTGAAATTTCGACCCTCACTAGGTGTCCCATACAATCGGCCCGTTGCCACATCAAAGCTGCGCTTAGAATATGATTATTCTTAAACCTAATAATTTTGTCACATAACGTCTCAGTGGGGCTAAATGTGTACGCGTTCGGGTGCTCCATATTAAACTCCAGCTTGTGTCATGTCTCAGAAGGAAGACAGGGCAAATATGGGATTTTCCTAGGGTACATGCATCGTTGCCGCAGATTAAACTCCAAATAATGCCAATTATGTCTCATAGGGAAGACTGGCAAATATGTGGTTTTACTTGTGTACGTGCTCTGGTGCTCCACATTAAACCCCAACTATTGTCACAATGTTTCTCAGTGGGGAGACGGTCTAAGCACATGCTTTTACACATGTACACGAACATATGCCCGGCATTAAACCCTAATATGTGTCACATTATGTCTCAAAGGGAAAACAGAGTAAACATGTTCTTTTCATTGTATGCGCGTTCGTGTGCCCCACATTAAACCCCCACCATGTGTCACATTATCTGAGAGTGGGGAAACGCAGAAAATATGTGATTTTACGCGTTCGGGTGCCGCAAATTAAACCCCAACCTCTGCCACATTTTGACAGCCAGGAGACGGGGTAAATATGTGCTTTTACTAGTGTAAGCATTCGGTTATCCCCCTTTAAACTTTAAATTGTGCCAAACTATTTCTCAATGAGGAGATGATGTACGCGATCGAATGTCTCACATTAAACCCCAACATGTCTCGCATTATATCTGTTATGGTCCGGTTCCTTGTACCAGGGTGATAGTCCAAGGTAGAACCAATACAGAAGAAGTCGAATACAGGTATGGAATAACACAGATATATTACAAACAGGAATATATACAGAGAAGTAGAAGGGTTAGTATGAACAATCAGGTTTAGTAGAGAGATCAATGTAGTCTCGACCAGTATCACTATTCCAATGTCTTGTAATAATTGTTCAACCGAACAGTCGGTTCAGAAGTGAACTACTGGCTGACGATATTCAGTCACCCCCCCTCACGAGGGTGTCATGTGGCACAAGACCTTTTTAACGTGGGCATTTCCGAGCCATTAGGCTCGGCCAAAAAATAGCCCATTTGAACCCGTATAAACGGGTCCAGGCCGGTTTAACCTCCGCGAAGGAGACTCCGCCCTTCGGCGTAGCCTCCTTCGGGTTCCTCCCGCCCGTAGGAAGAGAGTTTAACCGAACAGTCTGTAGTGAACTACGGACTGACAATATTCAGTCACAACCCCCCCACCCCACGAGGGTGTCATGTGACACAAGGCCTTTTTAACGTGGGCATTTCCGAGCCATTAGGCTCGGCCAAAAAATAGCCCATTGAACCCGTATAAACGGGTTCAGGGCCGGTTTTACCTCCCCGAAGGATAGATATGGTGAATATGTGCTTTTACTATTCTAGGCTTTGGTGCGCTATATTAAAACCGATATTGTGTTATATTATTATTCAGTAGGGATACGGTGCAAATTTTTTTTTTTACTTGTGTGCACGCTCCGGTGTCCCATTTAAAACCCCCACCTTGTGTCACATATACCCCAATGTGGAGAAGGGTTAAAATGTCCTTTTACTAATGTAAGTGCTTAAGTTCTACGCATTAAACCCCAAATTGTATCAAATTATGTCTCAATGGAGACATAATTTATGTATCTGCTTTTACTTGTCTACGCTTTAGGGAGCCCCACTTTAAAATCAAACATTTGCTAAATTATGTCTCGCCCGGCAGACGGAGTAAATATGTCCTTTTAGCTGTGTACGCGACCTTGTGCCCCAAATTCGATACCCTACACTGTGTTACATTATTTGTTCCTGTGAAGCTGGGAAACATATGTGCTTTTCATTGTGTACGCGTTCAGGTACCCAATATTAGGCACTGCATGTTCTCAATTTATGTCTCAGTTGAAGACAGGACAGATATGTGATTTTACATTTGCACGCGCTCGTGTGTCCTAAATTAGAAACCATCTTGAATCAAATTATGTCTCAAGGGGAGAGAGAGAGAGTAAATATATTCATCCCCACGTAAAGCCCACATTACGTTACATAATATCTCAGTTGTCAAATGCGTTAAATATGTTCTTATCCGATGCACATGCACGGCAGCCGGACTTTAAAACATTCTTTGTGTCACATTTTGTCTCACTGGGGAGACGGGGTAAATATACCCATCGTGTGCCCCAAATAAACACCACATTTTGTTACATAACATCTCCGTTGTGAGACGTATAAAAGATGTTTTTTATCCAAATGTATATGTTCGGCACGCCGACTTTAAACCTCTCTTTGTGTCCCATTTTGTCTCACTTAGGAGACGGGGTAAATATGTTCAACGTGTGCTGCACTTAAACACCAAATTGTGTTACATTATATCTCAGTTGTGAGACGCGTAAAATGTGTTCTTATCCAAATGTACGTTCTCAGCAGGCTGATATTAAACCACTCTTTGTTTCACATTTTCTCTCACTGGGGAAACGGGGTAAATATATTCGTCGCGTGCCTCACATAAACACCACATTGTGTTACATTATATTTCATTTGTGGGGCTCATTAAACATGTTCTTAACAGATGTACATTTTCGGCAGCTATGCTTTAAAATTCTCCTTGTGTCACGTTTTGTCTCGATGGGGAGACAGGGTAAATATATTCATCGTGTGCCCCACATAAACACCAAATTATGTGGCATTGTATCTCGGTTGTGAGACGCGTTAAATATGTTCTTATCAAAATGTACATGCTCAGCAGTCTGATTTTAAACCTCTCTTTGTGTCACGTCTTATCTCACTGGAGTGACGGTGTAAATATATTCATCGTGTAAATATATTCTTCGTGTGCTACACATAAATACTACATTGTGTTACATTATATCTCAGCTGTGAGACGCATTGAATATGTCCTTATCCAAAGTACTTGCTCGTCAGCCCGACTTTAAACCTCCCTTTGTGTCACATTTTTTTCTCCCTGGGGAGACGGGGTAAATATGTTCATCGTGTGCCATACACAATCACAAAATTGTGTTACATTATGTCTCTGTTTTGAGACGCAATAAATATGTTCTTATCCAAATGTAAATGTTCGACAACCCGACATTAAACCTCTCTTTGTGGCGTATTTTGTCTCACAGGGGAGACGGAGTAAATATATTATTCGTATGCCCCACATAATCGCCACATTGTGTGACATAATGTCTCTGTTTTGAGACGCGTTAGATAAGTTATTATCCAAATGTACATTTCGGCAGCCCGACTATACACCTCTCTTTGTGTCACATATTTTCTCACTGGGGAGACGGGGTAAATATATTCATCGTTTGTCCCACGTAAACACCAAATTGTCACTCGTTGTAGTTGAAAGAGTTAATAAAACACTATTGTGACACTAGTAGTATGAAAATGATTAATAATGTTTATGTGAAAGTCACGTATAGGATTTGGAAAATTGGAAGAGTTGAAAACGTTAAGGTGATAACTTGAACTGAAATATGGAGTAAAGAAATAGAGATTTTTTTTTTACCTTTCTGATAACTAGAAACGCAGAAGGTAATGTTGGGTTCAAAATATGATTTGAGAAATGAAAAATGTATCTACTTGCCAGTTGAAAAATAAATGGAATTGTTATAAATTGCAAGCTGATAATGTAAACAATCTGAAATATGGTTTTGTAAACATGCAATGTGGGCAAAGATTTTTAATCGGTCATATTGAAAAGAAAATCAATTGACTTCAAGGACATAAAAGAAAAACTTTTTAAAGACACAAACCTTATTGTTGAAGAATTTTTTTGTTTTGAATAAATAACCAGCCACCAGCCGCTTTCTTTGGAGGTCAGTATCGGTTCTCTAAAATTGATAACATAATGAATCTTGAGATGCGTTGGTTCGAAATACATATAAACGGGTGCTTAGTCGACCACAAAACCAGAAGCCGGCAGAAAGTAGAAGAAGGCAGAAGAAGGCACGTGACCTGCTGCCGGGAGAGTTCCCGACTTTTTACTTTTTTTTTTTTTTTTTGAATCCGTCATGAAGTTTCAAAAGAAAAAGACAAAATATCACTATGGATAGTTTAATGGTAAGGGTTATTTTTTTTGTATCAAAAACTATATAAACCAATCGAAAATTAAATTCGTTAAATTCGTTATTTTGTTATGTCATTTTTATTTTCGCTATCGGAAACGTTTTTTATTCTTTTGTAGCACTGTTCCGCCATATTTCGTTCCAGCTCTCGAGTACGGTCAGAGTTCGATCTTTGTTGCTCTGTAATCAAAGAACACAATTTGGGTCAGAAGCAGACGAAGTGACGAAGCGGTAAGCAGATAACCATCAGTTGACTAGCGGCAGTAATGACCTGAGTGGGAAGGACCCGAGATAGAGCAGTACCAGCTGTGCTATAATTGGTGACCAGTGACCATGATGAGACCTAGTGCCGTGGCTAAGGTCGCAACCCAGGAGAAGTCAACTAAAATATCAACACACCAGAGAACACAGAACGGGGCAATCAATCCGAAAAGAGTAAGACCAACAGACTTTAGCCATTTTGACTATAAGGTTCTATAAGTTCATAAATATTTTTTCTCAAGTCATTTTGGTTTCGTGTGTTTCTCTCGTGATAATTCTTGCGTTGTTTTTACGACTGAATTTTGTCGGATTGTTTCTCTTTCCCCGTGTTGACGGTTAGTTAAGCAGAAAATGGTCAAATATTGAGCAGATGATGGTGCCGATCGCTCTATAGATAGAAATAAGGCGAACAAGCCTCAGGTATCAGATAAATTCAAAAACTGGTTGCGAGGAAACAGAGTACCAGAAAATAAACAGGGCCCGGGAGAAATAAAGAACTGGTTAACGGCGATAGGGAAGAAACAGCTCATCTATGAGCTGTCAGAGGTAGAGGCAGCATTGTTGGCGTATGATGCCTCTGAGGGACCGGTCTCCGAAATCGCAGGGCGAGGGTGCATTCTGGATTAATGTGGGCTGATCTAGAGAATCTGCTGATAAAAGAATATGCAGATGAGGGAACGGCACTAGAGGCCATGAGCAGCCTCATAAATCTCACCCAGGCAAGGGATGAGATGACAAGGAAATTCGGAACAAGAGCGAGAAAAATTGTCGAGCATGGCTTTACCTGAGGAAGAAAGGGATAATTTTTGTAACCGACCATCCACCGCTTTGCTTGAAGGTCAGTGTCAGTTCTTCATAATTGAAAAGATAAGAAATAATGAATGCCGTGTGAGTCGGGCACTTAGGCGTCCCAGAAAAGAGAAGCCAGAAGAATCCACGTGACCTGATGCTGAGAGAATTTCCGACTTCGTAATTTTTTTTTTTTTTTTTTTTTGAAGCCGCTCCATGTTTTAGAAGAAGACAAAATAAGACGATAGATAGTTTAATAGGAAGGGTTAATTTTGTTATGTCAAAACCTATATAAACCAATTAAAAATTGAATTCGTTATTTTCTTATGTCATCCTTATTTGGCTTTTGTAGCACGGTTTCGCCGCGGTTCGTCTCAGCGCTCGAGAACGGACGATATTCGATCTCCACTGCACTGTGATCTCGGAACACAACGTAAAAGAAAATGAAGGAACGAAGCAGCAAGCAGATAAGCATCAGTAGACCGACGGCTGTACTGACCAGCGAGGGAAGGACCCAGTATCGAGACGGGCCAGCCATGTTATACACCACATTAATCCCCAACATGTGTCATATTACATCACAATGGGGAGACGAGTTAAATATGTGCTTTTACTTGTGTACGCGTTCGGGTGCTCTGACTTAAACCCCCACCTTGTGCCACAATGTATGAATGTGGCCCCGGGTAACACGTGCTTTTAAGTCTATACGCGCTCAGTTGGCTAACAATAACGCCTACATAGTGCCACATTATATTTCAGGGAGGAAACAAAACTTGGGCCACAATATGTCTCAGTTGTGTGGCGGGGTAAATATGTGCTTTTATATGTGGACGTAAGCGCGTGATCCACATTAAACCACATCTTCGGTCAAATTATGTCTCAGTGAACAGACGGGGTAAAAATATGCTGTTACTTGTTTCAATGTCTGGGTGTCCCGTATTAATCCCCACCTTTGTCATATTATGTATCAGTGCGGAAAAGGGGGTAAATCTATGGTTTTACTTGTGTACGCTCTAGTGCGCCCCATTTTAAGCCCCATCATGTGTCACATTGTCTCGGTAGGGAGACGGTAAATATGTGTTTCTACATGTGTACGCTCTCGGATGACCCAGATTAAAACCCACCTTATGTCTCAGGGGAAAGACCGGGTGAATATGTGCTTTTACTATAGTCCAATCTCCGGTGCCCCACTTTAAAGCCCACGTTGTGTCACATTATGTCCCAATGAGAAGAAGGGGTAAATATTTTCTTTTACTTGTATGCTCTCTCGTGTTACGCACATTATACCCCTTCTTGTATCATATTATATCTCAGTGGGAAGACAATGTAAATATTCTCTTTTATTTATGTACACGCTCGGATGCCTCACATTAACCTTCAAATTGTTTCACATTAGGTCTCAGTAGGGGGTTTGGTAAATATCTGCTTTTACTTTTGAGCGCGATCGCGTACCTGACATTATTACCCTCCCCCCACACACGCTTTGTGTCACATTATATCTCAGTGGGGAGAACGTGGTAAAAGTTTTCTTTTAGTCGTATACGCACTCGGGTCCCCCCACACTAAACCACAACTTGTGCTATATTATCTTAATGGAGAGACCGGGTAAATTTGTGCTTTTACTTGTGTACACACTTGGGTTCCTCATCTTAAACCCGAACTTTATGCCTCAGCGGGGTGACACTGTAAATATGGACTCTTACTTATGTACGCACCCGGGTGCCCCATATTAAACCCCCACCTTGTTTCAAGTTATGGCTCAGGGCGGAGACGGGATAAATAAATGCCTAACTAAAAGTACAAGTTCAGTAACCTCATCCACATGTAAAAAAAAAGACTAAGGATGATGGAATCAAAAAAAGTAAACGCTAACATTCATTAACACCAATAATGAACACGGCCACATTGTGCTGACCATGTTTGGAAAATAATATAAAAAAAAACATTCCTATAATTCTAGATACATGAAGTCAGTTAAAAATAAAATCCATCCTACATAATGGCTTAAGGAATAACCAAATACGCTCGGAAGAACAGAACATTTGGCTAGTATGTTCAGAAAAACAAACGAACACAAGAAAATAAAATGAAAACATAATCGTGGTACCTTGTTAGTATTTTAGTCATTGCAGCACAAATGAACAGTTTTATATATATATATATATATATATATATATATATATATATATATATATATATATATATATATATATATATATATATATATATATATGTGTGTGTGTGTGTGTGTGTGTGTGTGTGTGTGTGGATAGATAGATAGATAGATAGATAGATAGATAGATAGATAGTAGAGTTCGATCGATGCTCACAGGGTTCCCAACACTACATCTATACTCAGGCTGACATCAGTTATGCGGACGACGCACACACAAAATGTGTGCGAACTTATAAAGAAGACGCCCAAATTTTCTTTGGCAGCTGTTCTTCATTGCAGAACAAATACTCTCTCGTTTAAACTGAAAAAAGAAAAATCTTATTAATGAGTATAAAAAAATATCTTTCAAACTCAAAGCCTCGTTTCAACAAGGAATTCTATTCTCGAAATGAAGTTCTTCCAACTAACTTTGAAATCGCATCAAAGGATTGGCCTTCATTTAGATAGGCAGAAAAAATAATTAGTCTTAATTCTCCCCACCCCCCTCTCCAACGTATCTTTATCAACACTCCTCTAGGGAAAGGTATGTATGGAATCTTTTCAAATTTTTCTTTAAAAGAAAGTCGAATACTTGCAGAGGCTTCATTAAATATTAAATATTTTAATATTATCAGCAAGAAAAGAAAGGAAAAAATTATATTTCAGATTGCCAAAAACGGCTGCGAAAGACTGAGAATTCATTCACTGCAAATATTTTTTCCTACAATCTCTTTTTCTTTATCGCTTTCTCCCCGCTCTCTCTCTCTCTCTCTCTCTCTCTCTCTCTCTCTCTCTCTCGCACACATTTTTTTAGTTTTTATTATTCTCTTTCACTCATGAATTCCATATTTTTCATTACTCTTTCTTTGCGTTCATTTTCTTTCCTTCCTTCCAATGTCCTACTCTTTTCACTTCTTTCTTTCTTTCTTTCTTTCTTTCTTTCTTTCTTTCTCATATCACTCCATTTTTTTGCCACTTTTATATTCTTTCTTTCTTTCTTTCTTTTTTTCTTTCTTTCTTTCTCATATCACTCCATTTTCTTTGCCGCTTTTATATTCTTTCTTTCCTTCTTGCTTTCTTTCTTTTTTCTTTCTTATGCCAGTCATTCTGTTTTTCATATTACTTTCCTCCCGTTCTTTCTTTCTTTTTTCACATTCATTTCTTTTTCATTACACCAGAGTATATATAATTTTCTTCCTTTACGCCTTTCTTTCTTTCTTTCTTTCTTTCTTTCTTTCTTTCTTTCTTTTTCTTTCTTTCTTTATATCTCTCCATTTTCTTTGCCGCTTTTATATTCTTTCTTTCTTTCTTTCTTTCTTTCCTTCTTTCTTTCTTTCTTTCTTTCTTTCTTTTCGTTCGTTACTTTATTGCTTTCCATCATTTTTTTCATTTTTTCTTCTTTCCTTCCTTACTTTGTTAATATAGACTTATTTTTCCCCATTTCTATATTTCTCCCGCTTTTGGTAGGTTCTTTATTCCCCCTCTTTCCTATCTTTCTTTCTTTCTTTTCTTTTTTTTAAATTCCTTACTCCCCCTCTCTTAATTCTGCCTTTCTTTTTAAATACTTACTCTCCTTTTACCTACCGTCTTTCTTTTTTCTTTTTTTCTTGCTCACCTCTTTCTTAACTTTACTTCGTCCTTTGTAATTCCTAACTCTCTTTTTCCTTCCGTCCTTTCTTTCTTTCTTTCTTCCTCTCTTTCTTTCTTTCTTTCTTTCTTTCTTTGTAATTCCTGATAGTTTTTCCTAACTTTCTTTCATTCTTTGAAATTCGTTATTCCTTTCTTTCCTATCTTACTTTCTGTCTTTATTTCTTCTTTTCTTTTTTTGTAATTCCTTACTCCCCTTGTCTTTCCTTTTTTTCTTTCTTTCTTTCTTTCTTTCTTTCTTTCTTTCTTTCTTTCTTTCTTTCCATTCAGTCATCCTTTTTTCTCTTCTTTCTTTGTCATTCCTTACTCCTCTCTTTCCTATCGTTCTTCCTTCTTTTCTGTCTTTGTAATTATTTACTCCCTTTTCCGATCTTTCTTTCTTCTTTTCTTTCTTCTTAATTCTTTACTACTCCCCTTCTTTCCTTCCTCCCTTCTTTTCTTCTTTCCTTCCATCTTTTCTTTCTTTTTAATTCCTTACTTTCCACCTTTCTATTTGTCTTTCTTCTTTTCATTGTTTGTAAAATCTTACTCCCCTTTTTCTTACCTTTCTTTCTCTGTAAAACCTTCCTCCTCTCTTTTCTATGTTTTTTCTTCTATTCTTTCTTTTTAATTCCTTACTCCCCCTCTTTCCTTCCTTCCTACCTTACTGCTTCTTTCTTTCTTTCTTTCTAATTAATTTTTTATTCCTTACTCCCTCTTTCTTTCTTTCTTTCTTTCTTTCTTTTTCTTTCTTTCTTTCTTACTATTTAAATTTCTTCTTTCTTTTTAATTCCTTACTCTCCTCTTTCCTCCCTTCCTTCTTTCCCCTCTTCCTTCCTTCTTTCTTTCTTTTTAATTCTTTTTAATTCCTTACTCCTCTCTTTCCTTCCTTCTTTCTTTCTTTGTTTCTTTCTATTTAATTCTCTTCTTTCTTTTTAATTCCTTATTCTCCTCTTTCTTATCTTTCCTTCTTTATTACTTTCTTTTTTTCTTTCTTTCTATTTAATTTTTTTATTCCTTATTCCCCTTTCTTTCTTTTCTTTCTATTTAAATTTCTTCTTTCTTTTTAATTCCTTACTCTCCTCTTTCCTCCCTTCCTTCTTTCCCCTCTTCCTTCCTTCTTTCTTTTTTTTAATTCTTTTTTTAATTCCTTACTCTTCTCTTTCCTTCCTTCTTTCTTTCTTTGTTTCTTTCTATTTAATTCTCTTCTTTCTTTTTAATTCCTTATTCTCCTCTTTCTTATCTTTCCTTCTTTATTACTTTCTTTTTTCTTTCTTTCTATTTAATTTTTTTATTCCTTATTCCCCTCTTTCTTTCTTTCTTTCTATTTAAATTTCTTCTTTCTTTTTAATTCCTTACTCTCCTCTTTCCTCCCTTCCTTCTTTCCCCTCTTCCTTCCTTCTTTCTTTCTTTTTAATTCTTTTTAATTCCTTACTCCTCTCTTTTCTTCTTTTTTTCTTCCTTCCTTCCTTCCTTCCTTTCTTTCTTTCTTTCTTTCTTTCTTTCTTTCTTTCTTTCTTTCTTTCTTTCTTTCTATTTAAATCTCTTCTTTCTTTTTAATTCCTTACTCTCCTCTTTCCTTCCGTCCTTCTTTCCCCTCTTCTTTCTTTCTTTCTTTCTTTCTTTCTATTTAATTCTTTGTAATTCCTTACTCCTCTCTTTCCTTCCTTCCTTCCTTCCTTCCTTCTTTCTTTCTATTTAATTCTCTTCTTTCTTTTTAATTCTTTAATCTCCTCTTTCTGATCTTCCTTCTTTATTACTTACTTAATATCTTTTTCTTTCTTTCTTTCTTTCTTTCTTTCTTTCTTTCTTTCTTTCTTTCTTTCTTTGTATTTAATTCTTTTTAATTCCTTACTCCTCTCTTTCCTTCCTTCCTTCCTTCCTTCCTACCTTTCTTTCTTTCTTTCTTTCTTTCTTTCTTTCTTTCTTTCTATTTAATTCTCTTCTTTCTTTTTAATTCCTTATTCTCATCTTTCTTATCTTTCCTTCTTTCTTTCTTTCTTTCTTTGTAATTCCTTACTTCCCTTTTTCCTATCCTTCTTTCTTTTTCTTTTCTTTATTTTATTCGTTAAATCTCTTCATGGTTTGCAAAAATCTATTTTGTAAATTAAATTTAGCACGAAATGACTTTTCCTGGATGAATAACCTAAGGTAGAAAAATAAATTAAATATAAGCCGTTAAAAATATAGAAAAAAATTTTATCTCTCAATGCTTTCTTGATTTTTACTGGATTTTTTAAAGTTAGAATTTAATCGCAACAAAAAATGGCTTTCGTAAATAAACAGGTTTCAAAGATAGCATTTTTATATAATGTAAACGTTGCAGATTCTACAAGACGTGGGAAGATGACGCAGCGACAGTTTTCCAAATCTCGAACGTTCGCCTTCCTTTAAATACATCACTGGAAAATCACATGCTACTTAGCTGAGCTCGAAACCTCAAACAGATTGCCTAGAAAGAAGAGCTCAACTTTCTCAACCTTAAAACTTTCACAAATAATTAAATTGATACATAGGCTTATGGCTTTATCAGATTGAAACATCGGTTCCCATACGATCTCTGGAAGTTAAGCAACGTCGGTAAATAGATGGGTGACTGTATGGTAATACCAGGTGCTGTAAGTTTTGATGTGCAGGTGGTGCAATTGATAACAGCTCGGAATGGGAGGGCTGAGTTCCAATTCCAATCGGGTTCGTTATATTCACTTACACGCAAATACATTTCTGAAAGGTATGAATTCATTTCTTCTTCCCTCAGCTATGGGTTAATTAGTAAAACTTGTATCAGTAAAAAATCATTATCTTCACAAAATGTCTTACAGTTTTAAAATATTTGGGGCTCTAACTAACCTGCAAAAAGTTGATAAACCGTAAAAATCGAATTAATCAATCAATCAATCAGATTGATACATGAATATATGGGTACTTAAAATAATCACATCTATTGATATACGTAAAATTATGTAATTTAAGGTATGTCGAAGTGAACAAATTTTATTAATAAAAGGCTCAATAGTTATCTAGAGTAACAATTATTCTTCTTAATGTACCGTGTCCCTTGAGCACGAAGGCGGTCATAGCTCTCCACAACTTTTTGACTCTTGTATCTCTTATTAAACTTTGCCTTTCTGTTATTTCTTCTAGGTCCTGTTGTGCCAAGTTCATTAAACATGTTATGCGTTGTTTTCCTCTGTTCTGCTTCCACATTATATATCATCCTGACCCTCCTTCTTCATTATATGCCCTCCTTGCTCTCCTTTTTCATTATATGCTCCCACTGGTCCTCTTTCTTTATTATATACCCTCTTGGCCCTCTTTCCTCATTATATGCACTCCTGACCCTTCCTATATTATATACCCTCCTTCGACATTAATACCCACCTGGCTCTCCTTCCTCATTATACACCCTTCTGACCCACTTTCTTTATATCCTCTCCTGGTCCTCCTTCCTAATTATATACCCTCTCTGGCTTCCCTTCTTCATTATATACCCTCTTTCCTCATTATATACCCACCTCATTCTCCTTCGTCATTAATACCCACCTGGCTCTTCTTCCTCATTATACACCATCCTGGCCCACTTTCTTTATATACCCTCCTGGCCCTCCTTCTTCATTATATACCCTCCTCTGACTCCCCTCCCTCATTATATACTCTCCTGGCACTGTTTTCTCATTATATTCACTCCTGACCCTCCTTCGTATATTATATACACTCCTGTCCCTCCTTCGTTATTAACACCCAGTTGGCTCTCCTTGCTCATTATACACCCTCCTGGCCCAGTTTCTATATATCCCCTCCTGGCCCGTCTTCTTCATTATATAACCTCCTCTGGCTCCCCTTCCTCGTTATATACCTTCCTGGTCCTCCTTTCTCATTATACACCCTCCTGGCTCTCTTTCTTCATTATATCCCCCCCTGGCCCTCTTTTCCCATTTTATGTCCTCCTAGTCCTCGTTCTTCATTATATATACCCTCCTGTCCCTCCTTCGTCATTAATACCCGCCTGGCTCTCCTTCCTCATTATACACCCTCCTGGTCCACTTTCTTCATTATACACCCTCCTGGCCCACTTTCTTCATTATATACCCTCCTCTGCCTCCCTTTCCTTATTAATACACTACTGGCTCTCCTTCCTCATTATATCTCATTCTGGCCCTCTTTCCTCATTTTTTACCCTCCTGGCCCTCCTTCCACTATTACATGCCTTCCTGGCTTTCTTTCTTCATTATATACCCTCCTGTACCTCTTTCTTCATTATATACCCTCCTGTACCTCTTTCTTCATTATATGTCTTACTGGCGCGCCTTCCTCATTATATCTCCGCCTGGCCCGTCTTTCCTCATTATATCCCCGCCTGGCCCCTCCTTCCTCTATTATATGCCTTCCTGGCCCTTCTTACTCATTATGTACCCTCGTGGCCTTTCTTCGTTATTATATACCCTTCTGGCTCTCCTTCCTCATTAATACACTACCGGCCCTCCTTACTCATTATGTACCCTCCTGGCCCTTCTTCGTTATTATATACCCTACTGGTCGTCGTTCTTTATTATATACCCATCTGGCTCTCCTTCCTCACTATATACACTTCTGGCCTTCTTTCTTCATTATATGCCCTCCTCTCTCTCTTTCCTCTTTATATGCCCTTCTTGCTCATTTATGCTCCATATAGCTCGGCTGTTTCTTCCTGATGTTAAATATTAGTTTCCTTTTTGTTATCATTTTCAACAAAACTTCGTTGTTACTCACATATTCAGTTCAAAATATGCTCAGCATGCTCCTGTAGAACATCATTTCTGTTGCTTCAAATCTCCTCTTGATCTTTGAGGAGATCGCCCAACACTCACTACCATGCAGACGGATTAATATCACATAATGTTTAATAATTTGTTTCCTTATTTCTAGCGAAATCTTTCCATTTCTTACTCTGCTTAGCTTTTGAAAGTTATCTTTCGCTATCGCAATACGCCTTCGGATCTCAGTGTCGATCTTTCCGTTCTCTGTTAAAAGATTTCCCAGATATTTAAATTTCCTCATATGTCTGATTTTGGTAACTCCGATTTACAATTCGCGCTATGAACATTTTCAAGATATTTAACTAAACCGACTTCTGGACCCTTCAGAGAGAAAAACATCGCGATAAAACTGTTTTTCGTAACTCCTGTATGTTTGGGTGGCTTTCTTGCTTTGCTTAGAGTGAAATGATTAAAATAATAATGATATATGGTTATATATGAAATAAAAAAATATGTGGAATAATTGATAAGATTATTTAAGAGAATCTTGTAGTTTTGATAATCTGCTTTCAAAAATCACGATTTTCTCTCTTTGCTTTTAAATCACGGCCTTTTTTTTCTTTAATTAAATTTAATTTAAAATTGAGTAAAGATTGAATATTTTTTAGTTGTTGCTTACATCCTGAATAGACAAAATATTTGAAAAAATGAATCTTTTTTTTTGTTTTGTATTATATCACAATATTTTACAGCAAATATTTTTTGAAGTTTTTAATATCTAAAGAATTTTTAAATATCTATCATATGTAGCATAGTTTGGTGGGCCACGCTGAGGCAATCACTCTAGATGAAACCACTGCCCATGTTCTCCAAAATCTGCGCCTTGCTTACGGATATATTGTGATTGATTCCAAAATAGGGTATATTTCATTTTTTTTTTTTCAGATTACGTTTTTTATATTGATCTCATTGTTTCCAGTCGCTATTCCCTTTGAGATGTGTCTGTCGTATTAAACACTCCCGGCTCCCAAATATTACAAAAATGAATCCTTTATTTGATCTATACTGTTATAATGTTCTCATTTGTATTACTATCACGTCCATTTTAAAAATATTTACTCGACACTGATTAGAATGTAACTATTTTCTTTATACGTTTTAGTGGCTCTTCAAATGATCGGCATTTTTTACGAGAAGCGTTTTTAATGAAAATGTTTGAAAACAGGGATCTTCATTTTTCCTTGTTTCATAAGACAAATGTTTTTGGTTAATATATATATTTGGTTTATTAAATTATATTAGATTTAATTCGAGTGAATCTATAACAGACAAGTCCAAATAAACACTTCTGCAAATTATTTGGCACAATTACTTTAATTTCCTGTCTTTCATCTTACAGTTAGTTTTAGATCCACTGGTGGAACAAGGTATAATCGATTTCTATTTTTACCTCAGATTAGGTAATCTGCAGTGGTATGCAGTAATATGAATCTGTTATATTGGGTGTATGATGAAATATTTGTTGCCCTAAAAATATTTGCGTCATCCTTGATTGCATCAGATTTTCATCACACACAGACACTATTGTCTCGATTGTCGATTAGTTGTCTATGGCCATTGTCTGCAATGGACGTTACTCAAAAGAAGTTTTTGAAAATTGTAACATTGCAAGAACACAATGTCAAGCCTTATCAGTGAGCAAAACAAATTACTATCGACTGGCTTGGAAAATCTTCTGAATTAAATCCAATCAAGTATCTGTGGTCAATCTGCAATGAAAGACGTTGTGAAATAGATATACGAAGTATTAGTGCGCTGGATCATGTTTCATTAGGAAAATATGAAAAAAGTATATAATAATGGAATTATTCGTTTTGTTTCAATTTGCACAAAGGTGTATCTCATCTAATGACAATTTCTTTCTTTACTCAATTCTAAATTAAATTTAAAGAAAAAAAGATTAGCCGCAAGATATCGTGATTTAAAAGCAAAGCGAGAAAATCATGATTCTTGAAAGCAGATTATCAAAACTACAAGAGTCTCTTAAATATTTTTTTTTCAATTATTTCACATTTTTTTTTTATTTATTTCATACTGGTATTCCTCAGTCACCCATCTCGATACTGACCAGGTTCAACGTTGCTTAACTTCGGTGATCGGACGAGAACCGGTGTTTCAACGTGATATGACCGTAAATCTTGTTTAAGTTTGCAAGGTATTATGATGGAATGAACATGTGAAACGGGTCTTTGATTGCTTTTAATTTTTTTTACCTTCAAACAAGGTGATAATGCCACTAAGACGCAAGCAGTTATTTGATGAGAAGGACTATGAGAAGGCTTTAGTGAAGGGAAAGGACTATAAAATAACGGAGTTCAAGAAGACAGAAGATGGCGATTGACGTTGCATTGAAATGTTTGAAGAATGGGGGTAGCAGGAAAGAAAGAAACATGAAACGTGTGCCACAAGTGCGAGAAAAGAAACTATCGGGATAGAACTTACGGTAACATGTATTTCAAGGGAAAAACGATCAGACCTATTTGCTAATGTAATAGTACGCTTGAATCTGTGAAGTCGAGATACAAAGTATGAAAGCTCTTTAGAAAAATTACCACGAGATTATATTCAAAGAAAAAAAAAGAGTAACCCACGTCACGGTGGTGGGAAAATAACTGTTGTAACCTAAGAAAAGATTACTGAATAGGAAACGAAGGTTGGAAATGGAACGATAATATAACAGAAACAATATACAAGTTCCGCCAGTGGTGTATAGTAAGTAATCAACTGCTAGTGGTGAGCTAGATGTCAATGAAGGTGAATTACAAGTGAATCCCACAGTGAAGATATTCCCTAACCTCTCCATGGGGTGGACCTAGCCCGTAAGCTTGGGCAAAAATTCCCCGTATACACGGAGTCGGGTAGCTGTCTATCTACCCCAGACGAGACTCTGCCCTTCGACATAACTTCGTCTGGGTTCCCCTCTGCCCGGAGACAGAGAGTTTGACAAACACATAGTGGAAACCCACAGGGAATATATTCACTAACTTCTCCACGCAGTAAGATGTGACACAAGGCCAAAGTTAATGTGTGATGAACCGCGCCTGTAAGCTCGGGCAAAAATTCCCCGTAGACCTCGTATACATGGGGTAGAGTAGCTGTCTATCTCCCCAGACAAAGTTCTTTTCGACATCTGGGTTCCTCTCTTCCCGAAGGCAGAGAGTTTGACAAGCCCACTGTGGAAGATCACAGGGAATATATTCACAAAACTCCTCTCGCGGTTCGATGTGGCGCAAGGCCGAATTTAATGTGGTGTGAACCAACCCTGTAAGCTCGGGCAAAATTCCCCTTAGAATTCGTATACACGGGATCGAGTAGCAGACTATCTCCCTAGACGAGGCTCTGCCCTTCGACATAGCCTCGTCTGGCTTCCCTTCTGTTGGAACAACACAGTGAACCAACTTCCCTAGCAGCAGACGTAGCAATTAATGCAATATTCTCATTCCACTTCTTTTTAGTAAAAAATGTGAGACAGAGAAGGCGAAATATTACACTCCTTGTTGTGAGGGAGATTATTTTCCTACAAGTTTGGACTCGATCGTCGAACAAAAGAAATAAAAATATTCCTACATCAAGAGGAGTAGCAGTAGCAGCAGTAGCTACTGCTGAAAACAGTTAGTCATTTACTGCTAAATATTCTCTTTTCTAGTATCTTTTCTACATTGTTTCCCTGTACCAAAAAGGAAATAAACTTGTTAGACTAATTTCGGTTTTCTACTGTTGTTTTTGAGAACTCATTGTTTTTCGAGGCATTAAAATTTACAAACCATTCCTTGCCCAAGTTAACAACTGATTAGGGGTCATTTTTGAACGCAGCTGCCAGTTTTACTTTTTTCAGAACTATATTAAGACAGGAGTAAATAGCTGTGCCATCAACATATATACCTAGCTGGGAACTGATGACAATGGGAAACTCATTGATAAAGATAAAAAAAAAAAAACAAATCAAAAACAAAAAACAACAACGTAGGTCCAACGATAGAGCCCTGGGGGATCCTCGCATTAATGTGAAATGATCTAGAGGCGTGGCCGTCCAATACGTCATTCATTACCCGATTTATTCAGAACGAGTGGATTAAGTCAAATATTCGGACAGTGGCACCATAACATTTGAGACTGTAAAGAGGGCCAACATGCCAAACCCTGTAAAACGCCTAAATTCACAGGCTGAACCGAGTTGTTCTTGTCTAAAGCCTGATTTAGACAAATTTAGTAATAATTGTCAATGCATCAACGGTTGTAATTCATCAAATGTCATTTAAATTGTTTTTTATCGTTTATCAACCCTTTGTTGTTTATTTAAAACCAAAACATATTTTGAATAATGAGAGTAATTATTTGTTTTTGTAAGTGAATATTTAATTAACAATTTTGGAAAATAATGATTTTTTTCCCCAAATAAATGCCCTACTTTTTAACCCACAACTGGGTGGCAGGCGATTCCTACATTATCCAAAGGTATTTACGCGTAAGTGAATTTAACGAATCTGACTACACCACTTGAACATTAAAACCAATTAAATTGAAGATCCAAAGATATTACCCCAAAAATGAATAAGTTTCTAACAGATCATTGGAGATTTGGATTCAACCGATTTACGGTGGATTCAACAGGTTTACGGTTCTACAGAAAGCTATTGAGAATACCGTAGACAGTACATGTGAACGACGAGGAAGTTTTAAAGAAAACGAAAACAAAAGGACACAAAAAGTGTTGAAACTGGGGGTACATAGCAAGAAAAGAAGACTTGGAGAATTTGACACCCACAAGATATACTGAAGGCAAGATAGGAAATATAATTTGTATGACGAGCTTGTCTTAAATGATTGTAGAGTGTGGACTGAGAGGGATAAGTAAAGTGACAGGCATTGCTTAGAGATACAAACGTTAGTCAAATGTGGAGAGGCATGATCTTGCACTCCCTGAAGTGTAATTAAAAGTCAATATGTTATCGTCACATGATTTCACAAGATCAGTCGAGATACGAGATACGAAACTGAATACAATATAAAACTTTAATCTTCATCTGTCTGTATTTCTGTGATGAGGTATTGTAGCTATTTACACGATTTTTGTAAATCCTGTAAACAACTACATTTCGGTAAATCGTGTAAATAGCTACGTTCGGACTGTAGTCAGCATTTTTATTGTCACATTCACAACGTTTCGGCTGTTATACGCTCCGGCGTTCTTCAGGTGATATTTTTGAATTTCGAACGGAAACCAGAATAGTCAATCTGTATGTTGGTGTTTCTGAAGATTGGTTCGACCCATGTTTATTTCTTGAAATGGGTTGACATATAACATTCACATTCCTGGGTGGTTCATAATGTCACTGAGAATCTGTTCCATTTCGCCACCTACCGCTTGCAATTATCGTGACAGGGATTTGCAAAGCTTAAGGTCTTTGAGATGTAAATAATTTAGATTAATTCTTCATATCGAAGTCGCATCATTTAAACTTTTAATGTAAAAATTAGGTGTGATTTTTAACTCTTTCAGTCAAAACTCGGTTAGAGGCTGCCAACAAAAAATGAAGGACGTTTCTCTTGTCTTTTTCTTCTCCAACGTTTTGGCAACGAGAGGATTTATATCCACAGGAAGAGTTGCAACTTTACAGAGAACCCTTGTTTTACATCCCGGTTTCGGACCAGCATCTACGTAAGTTAATTGACTTAAATATCCTTAATTATAGACACGTTTCTATCGTTTTTATTTCTGATTCTTCAGATGTTAGAGCGTCATTCTAGAGTCGTTAATAAACTTTCCTCTAATCTCCGAAAAGTGTCTTTCAATTCCAGCTACTATACAGAACCTCAGTATAGAGTAGCTCAGTATTGAACGTGGAGGCACAAAGGAATAGCAAGAAAATAGAGACTAAATGCCAGTCTCACAGAGAGCTTATCCATTATTCCCGATTCCCGATATTTACTAAACAGCAGAGACAGTATGGTGATTTTCCAAGTATAGTTTAGATGTGACACAAGGCCGAAAGTATAGGGCGCTATGTGAGGATCGAACTTACTACTCTTGATCTAGCAAGAGAATCCTGCTAACCATTACACCATGCCGTTGTGTCCAAATCAGCGTAGGCAGTATGAGTAGTTGCCACAAAATGCAGCTACAATTATATTGCAAAAACATATTAGTCAAAAGTGCACACTAAGTGAGAAAGGTAGCGGTAATATTAGCCGTTTTCCCAATAAGGAAACATTTGCCATTCATTAACCTTGCAACCGGTACTGTTTCCGGTTAAAATTTATAAAATCTTTCTTTGAAGACATTTTTAGGAAAACCGGTTCCTCAAGTCCAGAAGCTTTTATCGTTTTTCCAGTATTGATGGGGGTTTCCCTATGAACCTTCTAGTTAAAGTGGTGTGGAATGTTAACATATTGATTCTGTCATTATTTTCTCTACGCGTTACATGTACTATCCATTTTAGTTGTTGCTGCTGTTGGTAGTCCTTAAGTGATATGGTTTCTGTTATTTTGTTCAGTTCTTTGTGATTCTGTAGCGCCAGTCCACAGCGTTCAAAGAATGGTAATCTTTGCCAAGACCTTCGGGCTTCACTCGTTCAAAGCCTTTTTCCTCATTGATCTTAGGAAGTGGTTGTATACTACTGACAGTTTAGATATTTTCTGAATGGGTTTGGCGCCATGCGTGACATCCATATGAAGTTTCGATCTGACGAGTCTATGTAAGAACATGACTCAAGTTTTCAGGTTGATATTTTGGTTCTGTAGCAAGTTGCAGTATTAAGAAACTCTCTCTGTCACAGCCTATTCTATATTCAATTTATTTTCTCCTACAATTAATTTTATTCTTACTGATTCATACGCCCAGGTATTTGTAGTGTCTGTTATTTACTAATTCCATATCCTGTATTTTTATGATGGATTCAGTGTAGGTGCCATCACTGCTTTTATTTCAATTGTAGATCATAGTTTCTGATTTGGACGGGGTTCATCTTGAGTATTATTTCTTGGAATATTTGATAGAGGATAATAATAATAATAATAATAATAATAATAATAATAATAATAATAATAATAAAATTCTAGATAAAGTATTAGAGTGTTGAAGAAATAATGGAATGGTTAATTTTATTATATATCAATATTAAAACGTTTTTATATA